CTGCTGCGCGCCGCCTCCCCGGGCAGCATCCCGCAGCAGGTGGACTTCTACTCGCGCTTCTCCCCCTCGCCGCTCTCCATGAAGCAGTTCCTGGACTTCGGTGAGTCCCCGCCGGTGCCCGTGAGGAGCGGGACGGGGCGGCTCTGGCGCGGCCGCTCCCCCCCTCCCCCCCGGTGATCAGCGCTGCCGCGTTCCCCTGCTGTTCCTTATCGCTTCTTAATTCTCTCCTCCTTTTTGGCAGAAAAAGGCTCTGCTTCCTTCCTGGAGAAGGGAGCCCAGTTGGCTCCTTCCCCGGAGGCTGGAACTGTGGCAAGGTTGAAATTCAGCTGAAAACTCCAGGTTTTGGCATCGCAAAAGTAGCGCGTCTTGTTTTTTTCTGCAAAACCTGCAGCGTTGGGGAGAGGGTGGGGACAGTTAGGACAATCGGTACTGTTAGAGCAGTGACTCAGAAAGGTGAGATTTGTTAAGCCTTTTGCAAGCTAGCAGCGTGCACCCTTTTAAGGTATGGCAAACACAGTAAGTGTTTAATCTCAGCTGGCGCCGAGGAGCTTGAACAATCATCGCTGCTCCTCGGTCACGTGTCCCGGCCCTACAAAAACACCTTTCCCAAATATTGTTGGTTTAGAAGATGGGTGAGAGAAGGAGCAGGACGCAAACACCAAGGGCCATCCTGGAGGGCTGGGAATCTTAGCCTTGCAAATGAATAAATTGGTGACAGGTACTCAGTCTTACACTCCGCACGCACTACAACCGCTCGTAATGCTCCCAGGTTTGACTGACTGCTTGGAAACAAAAGGGATCACAGGAGTTGTTGTTCTGCTTCAAAGCAAAGACGACACAGAGAAAGGCCTTGTAAGTCACACTGAGAAACCTTTTCAAAGCCTGGGGATGGAGCCATACTAGAATACATTACGTTTCTGTACCCAAGGCACTCTCATGTGCATTAGTGTTTACATAAATGTTGTATATAAACATTTAACTAGTTAATAGTTGTATTGCTTTTTATGTTTTTGTAAGTAAAACATAACTGAGAACTAATCCTAGAACCCCAGACTTTGTGTAAGTAGGAAGACTTACAAAGGAAAGTTTCTCTTCACTGTCCAGTGTCACTTCATCCATCTATTCAATGTTTCATACATTGCAGTAAAATGTATCCAATATTTAAAACTCCAGATTTGTACAGGAACCCCACCATATATTCTGTTGCTACCATACTTTTAAGCAAAGAATCTTGCAATTCAGGGTTCACTTTGACCTGTATTATTTTACCACTAAAATACTGATAAAATAATGCTTACCTTAAAACCAGTGTTTATTTTCAAGGCACAGTATTTCCTCATGTCAAAAGTCAGGCTACTTTTTTGCTGTTAGTACCTGAACGTAAGGTAAAGGTAATCTTGAAAATGTTATTATTTTTTTTTCTCCCTTTTGCTGAAGGATTTAGTAGTAAAAACTAGTAACAAAGGCAAAAAAAGAGTAGGGTACAACACTGAGACAGTATTTGTCTATAAGACATTCTGTAGCCATTATAATCTGATGGTGTTTTCATTGGGGATTTTTTTGGCTCCTTTCGCTAGAGTGAGAGCAGTCACAGAGAAAATCATAAAATCTCGTAATGCTTACTTAAAAAAAAAAAAGGCCTGCTTCTAGATCCTCCAGGTTTCAATCTAGCAAATGAAATATTCCATAAGCAAATTTAGATCTGGATCATATACATCAGTCATATCTTGGGTTATAAGCACACAGTGTTTTCTGTAGGAGTCTTATCCATTCTTTGCCTAGCTGCAGAGGGAAACAAAGTCATTTGCCCATTCACCAAAGTCTTGCTTACCCTAAGCTGTCTTCCATATTTGACCCAGAATTGCAAAGATACAGCCTCCAGATACAAAACTAATTTGTGGAATGTCATTTGCTGAGTATATGAGGCATTTGAAGATTATCTTTACGTTGTAATACCTTCAATCTGACTTGTTCATGGAATTTTGCCTGAGAAAAGGGAAAGGCCAGTAACAGTCATGCCTGAAATGCAGTCTGACTAGGGAGAAGAATGAAAGGTTTCTGGGCAGAGGTCATGTGTAGACAACGCATAATACTGCTACATGTCACTGGGGAGGAATTTGTTCTAAGCTATTTACTTTTTTATTAAGTTAACTGACATTCTCTCATCAGTGTAGTTTATGACGTATCTGAGTCTGGATGCATTAAGCTAACCTACTCCCATTTCAATTTTGTGAAGATTTTTCCTGTTTAAGACACTCCCAGCTTCCTCTTTTTCCATGTCCCTTCCTTTAATCTTCTTCCCCAACTCCCCCATGCCAAATGGAAGGAGTGAACTGAGCAGAAACACCAGAGTTAATTTTTAGGAGTTACCTGTTGTGAAACACCAAGCCTGAGGTACATACTTCACTGCAGCAGATGAACTGGTTAGAAAGTTCAGATGCTGTTTACCTGACACTCTTGAAGTCTAGACAAAAGTCTGGCTGAGAATAAAGTACGGCATTTCTTAGCCTCTTCCCCACTCCGCACCCTCCTTTCTCACATCGTAAAACAAGCATTGTGGGAGTAAATTTAGGTCTTGATCTTAATTTAATTGTCACCCACACAGATGACACCTGTCCTTATAAAAGGGCAGGTCAGTTATCAACAGGTGCAATAACTTAGCTTCTAGCTTTCAAAAATGTAAAAAATTTAAAAAGTAAATGTATGGGAGAACTACTGTTGTAATGAGTAAGCACAGTAGCTGTCCTACTTTCATTTCTCTCAGTATTCACGTGAATTCATTCATCTGTCTTCTGTTCCTGTAAGACAGTGAATTTAAACTACAACAGATCTAGCTGAAAATGAGATAATTATTACAGAATTTACATACTGAAAGTGTTCCAATATGAGTTACGGTAATTTAGTAAGATCAAGCAGGGTATATGGGACCATGATACTTTCTCAAGCATCCTTCCCATAAATCATTTCCTGCGCTGGTTTCATTTGCCTCTTTGACATGCTCAGAATGACATACTGTTTGATCAGTGCTAGTTGCAGTCGATGTTTGCTGCAAATAAAACAAACAATTTACATGGATAGAAGCAATATTTAAAGTTGAATAGTATGGGTCTGCAACTATTGCACTAGTTACTCTTTATATATTTAAGATTCTCATTACCGCAACAGGGCCGATAGTTTTCAATATGAGTTTACATTTTGAAATATAAATGGGCTGCTGCCATGAAAGAAACGTTGGCTTACCAGAGCGGCTGAGTCAACTTTAAAACCAAACCACAGACCTCTTATGCAAGAAAGTAAGAGTTTGTGTAGTTCTCTGCCATAAGTACTGACTTTATTCTGATGTTGTTATGTATTTATTTTGGTCTTAGGATCTGAAAATGCTTGCGAAAAGACTTCATTTATGTTTCTGCGACAAGAGTTGCCTGTGAGATTGGCAAACATAATGAAGGAAATAAGCCTGCTTCCAGACAACCTCCTAAGAACACCTTCAGTTCAGCTGGTGCAGAGCTGGTAAGAACACTGTCATTTCATACCTTTAAGGGTGACCTTCTGCATGTATAGGAGTTGGAGGAACTCCTTCTCTTCTATCGAAAGAATATTTCATGTGCTCGTTACATGAACATCACTTATTTAGACTGAGTAAATATCCCAGTGTGACATAAATCAGAAACTAAATTTACAGAGTTGGGGAAAAAACCTTTAGGGGCAATTAGAGAACCCACAAGGGAATTAAAAATCATTAAGTATTGCAGATAGTAACCACAGAAATCTACCAGAACAATGTTTAATAGGGGACTTGCCTAAAATGAAGAGGCTAGTTGAAGAAACCAACAGAAGCAGGCTAATGCACAAAATGCTTGCAAAAGATAGTAGAAACCATTTAAAAGACAGGTTATTGTAAATTGAGAATAAAGGCGTAGAAAATATGAAGAAAGACCAATAGGAAGCTCCCAAAGCCAAAACCCATAAAACAACAGAAAGAATACGAGGCTATTAAAATAAAAGAGACGTCCTTTGACAAGTAAAATTTGCTGTCAAGTTAGGAACTTAGACATAAGCATAAACTTCTGTAAGATGAAAGCAAACCAAAGAGATTGCTTGGCAACTGCCAAAGGCACATGGCTATCTGGAAAGTTAAGAGAACAGAAAATCTGCCAGTGGGTAAGTGGGATTGATTAGATGACTGAATATAAAAAGAGCTATCAATGAAGATGAAGTCTGTTAATGAAACACGAATGCTTAAATTCTCATGATACTAAATGACATTGATCAAATGGGAAATGAATTCTACTTGGACAAATGCAAAGTAGAGCACAGAGAGGAATGTCCTCCTCTTGTATGTTTGCTTGTTTACAATGGAAAAAGAAATTTTGATGCTACTGGGGATTCTTTTCTGAATATGTCAGTTGATGGGCAAGAAGGCAAATAGGAACTAAGTAACAAATGGGGAGAAATATAATTGTACCACTGTGTTAGCTCATTATTCCTCTGAATTGCATGCAGTTTTAGTCATTCCATCCTGAACAGAAAAGACCAAGAGGGATAATCAGAGGGTTGGAACAATTTCTACGTGAGGAGAAACCAAATAGAACTCTTTAGCTTGGAAAATAAACATCTAAGGAAAGAGGTGGCAGAAATACTTAAATCATGAGCAAGCTGGGAAGATTTTCTAATAACCGGAATTCGCTGGGGCTGCAAATAAGTGATCACCTACTGGGTTTAAAACACAAGGAAGATCTTTTATGCATTCTAATTAAATTGTGGAATTCATTGCTCTGGAAATTTTGGAAGAAAACATCATGAATAGATTCAAAAAGATCTAACAAAATTCACAGGGGATAGGTCATGGGATATATCAAATACAATGATACAGAAATTGCTAACCAAAGGGATCTGGGGAGGTATATTAGAATTGGTCTTTCTCGTGTTTCTTTTGTTTAAAGGTATGTTCAGAGTCTTCAGGAGATCCTTGACTTTAAGGACAAAAGCTCAGAAGATTCAGGAGCTGTTCACAGGTAAGGATTTGCTGTCATGTATGTTAATATTATGTAGAAGGACTGGCAAGAAAATGATAGCTTAAGAAAAATTCCTGCTATCTCCATAAGTTCACATAAGAACTGCAGTAACGTCACCCCCCAGCCCTAAAAGGATGGTACATTAAAACATGAAACAAAGCACTTTTATGCCATACCATTCTGGTCAGGGCTTTTTTTGTTACACTGGAGAAACTATGAATTTGTTAAGCTTGACCAAATGTTTACCAGTTCCTTACTTGCAATGTTGGAACTGATGTATGGAACTTCTCACCTGTAGAGTAGGTTTGGTCATCGTTCGCTGACCATAACTGCCATTTGACAGGCATGGGATGATCTGCATGAAAATGGTTGGCACAGCATTCTCTTTTTCTTGGCAGTAAGCAAGATAATAAATAAATAATAATTTTATAAATAATCAATAATGGTTGATTACTGGTTGTTTCAATGCTAGTCACGTGAAATACGCTGTAAAGACTGACCTGTCATCTTCTTGCCACAGGCAGACCTGTGATATTTCGGTACATAACCATCCTCATTTTTGTAGGCAGATACTCTGTTTGCCAGAGTATTAAATTCACTTGAAAGTGAAATCCTAACAATGTATTAATTTTTAGTTTCACAGATACTGTGATAAAAATCCGGAATCGACACAATGATGTAATTCCTACGATGGCTCAAGGAGTAATAGAGTACAAGGAAAGCTTTGGCATTGATCCAGTGACCTCACAGAATGTGCAGTATTTTTTAGACCGTTTCTACATGAGTCGCATTTCAATTAGAATGCTCCTTAATCAACACTGTAAGTGCCATTGTTGAAAGGAGGGGAAATGATACCTGTACTATGTCAGTATATTTTCCTTTCATTTTTAAGTGCTTAACGTGTGCTTTAATGCTTCTTAGGAGTACACTATTTGCCTTGCTATTTATAAATTCATTTTTAATACAATTCTTAAAATATTTATTAATAGTAGGCTTTCAAGTATGGTGAAGATTGGAGTTACAGATTGCCTATAAGTTTCTGTTTAGCAAAACTGAAGACACAAACTAAAATTATAAAATTATATTGGGTATTAAGTACCATTTTCTTTTTTTGGCAGCTTTACTGTTTGGTGGGAAAATTAATCCAGCTCATCCAAAACACATTGGAAGCATTGATCCTAACTGCAATGTTGTTGAAGTTATTAGAGGTAAATTCAGCAGATAAGAACAAGAATCCTGAAAACTTACATGAATGTCTATACTGAGAGCCAATACACATCTTGATATTCACATACTGTTTAGTTCTTTCCTACCTGGAGCAGAAGTTTCATTTAAAGTGTAATACAGTTTTGTCACTTTTCCCTATAAACCCAGTTTTTGTGAGAAAATACAGAATCTCGCCCTGACAGTGCACAGTGTTTGCAATTTTTGTTTTTCTTTTTGGCAAACTGTAAAGGAGAAAAAAAAAAAGTGGAGGGGGAAATGTAACTTTCTGTGTTTTTGCTATAGATGGCTATGAAAGTGCCAAGAGACTTTGTGATTTATATTACACGAGCTCTCCAGAACTCATCCTTGAAGAGTTGAATGGTAAGTGAATATGGAACAAGGCGCTCTCTTGAACGTAGTGATGGTGAAATGTTCTCCTTCCACTTTTCATACAGTTAATGTGTTCTCTGTGTCTATTGTCATAAATAGTTGTTTGTTGTTTTTTTTTTTAAATCTGGCAAAAGGCTTTCCCTATTCCTCCCTTTAATTAGAAAAATTAAATCAGTAGAAAAGTTTTTGACACTACAGCTGTAACAGATTTTAGCAGCCTCCTTCCCTCCCTAAGGTTTCTTGTATGTCTTCACTCTACACTGTCTATTGTGTCTCACCCTCTCTGCGTTTCTGTGATGCTTTTACACTAAACATTCCATTCTAATTTCTCTTGCTTATTCGGCTGTCATGTTCTTGTAATTGTAATTAGATATGGTATGAATTTGGAGGTCAGCTATTGTCCTCATAGTCCTGCTGAACTTTCTGACACCACTCATGAGTACTTTTCAAGATGCTAAATGCCAAGTTTGGACAGACCTAGAAAAACCAGCAATCAAAATTGCTTCTGGAAGTAACTGCGAAAGCCAAAGTGCAACCACAGTAACTTGGTCTATCAAGCTAAAGGCAAAGAAAGTGTGGCCTTGACTACACGTTTCAGATCTTTTCTTCCTACTGTACAAACCCTGTTCTCTGTCTAGGTTGAAGGGTTTACCTCTCTCCATCTTTGGAGTATGATACTAAAATTTGTAGGAAACTGTCAGTCACGCTAGCTAATTCTCTGTACTGAGGGGTCATTTAATGGTGTATGTGCTCCAAAAGCCAGAACAAATAGTTCAGTTTTTATAAAAGGAGTGACCTTTTGCTCAATGAATTGTGAAGGTGAGTTAAACCTCATCCAGGCCAAATGCACATTCCTTGCCCACAGCGAAGAGTGGAGACCATTATTTAAACCTTAGGCATGGGACTGGGGAGTGGAGGCATGGAGGGAAGCGGTTAACTTGAGGACAAGAACCTGACATATTTCAAAGTGTGATTTCTCCCCCTGCCCTACCTCCCCCCCTTTTATTTTTGCTGGGTACATAATTGTTCTAGATCTTTTGATGTAGCTAGTCTGCTGCATTTATGTTCATAAAGCACTGGTCACTAACAGAGTCTGGTGAGAAATTATTAATTTGTTGAACTGAAAGAAACTTAAGAGCCAGCAGAATTTTCTGAGCAACCTTTCCTTAATTTTTGATATAATGAACATGTTCCCCTGATATATTTTCTAGAATTTGTTCTTTAAAAAAAAGTTTGAAAACTATACCAGTTTTATCAACAGATTTGTCTATATAATTTTTGTATATATATATAAAATATA